GTGCTGAGACTCTCCAGGAAAAAAACAAGTACGTAAATTTAGCTTAATTTCATGTAAATGCTATGGGAGTATTATAAATAATTGGATTATAAGTAAAGAGTTGAGAGTGTGGGTAGACACACACACACCACCCCACCCCACCCCCACCCCCCTGCCCAGTTAAGTATTGGACTAAAAACAGCAGACCTTTGGCCATTCTGAGTGAAGGCCAGGGCAAAAAGCACTCATCTCCAACTTGAGATGACTTTTAAAAGCTATATTAGTGCAGCATTGACCTTCCAAGAGGCCCTAGTTCCAAATCTATTCCATGTAGATTATGTCTCTCCCTCTGTGGTCATCACATTTTATTGAAAATATGGCTATACAGCTCGCTCTAAATCTCTTTGTTAATCTATGTTATCAAATGAATTCTATCTTTTATTTTGTTTCCAAAGTCACTTTTTTCGCAAGTGAGAAAGATCTGTGGTGGAAATGTGCTAAGTCTACAGATCTATTATGCATACCAAATATTCAGTACATATAATCATGGTGAGGCCCTACTGAGCTCCATGAAAAAGGCCCCTGTAGGAGATCACCTATTCTAAATAAAGATGGAAATGGAAGGGGGTAGGGAAACTAGATCAATGGAAATGGAACAACTAGAATGGAAAGAATGAGAATATCCATTGTGAAGAATGTAGCCAAAGTCACCGAACAACTTGTATAGGAATTATTGAATCAGAACCTAAACTACTCTGTAAACCTTCACTGGAAACACAATAAAAAATTATTTTTAAAAAGTGGGGGTGGGGAGGTACAATAAGTTCTAATAGGTACAATGGTTAGAAAATTTAAGAAATACTTGTACATCATTTAAAAGAAATTTAGCCTAACAAGGCTCCTTGAGATTTAACTCAGATTTTAGCTACTGACAAGGTTATATAATACAGTATATTCTTAGAACTATGAATTGGTTGTGTTTTTTTACATGCATTCACCAAAAAAAAAAAAAAAAAAGACCTCCTATTCAGTAAGTAAACAAAGAAACAAAGATGGGTCCCTG